CTAAGAAAGTTTCCTGAAGTTTGTAAAAGAAAGATATAATCTACTGAGCAGTTAAGTGATTGTGAAGCTGGCTGCAGGCTGTAGTTAGATGCGCTCCAAGGAACACCACAGGTAACAGAAATAGCAGGAGCTGAAGAAATCATCTGTAAAGGAGAAGAGCATCAAATTCTTTTCCATCTCAATTTCTCAGCTGTTTTGCTTTAAATACTCCTTTAAGAGTAGGGCTTAATGTGCTTTAACTAATCCTGCAGAGGAAAGCAGTGCTATGGATTTGTAGCTGTCTGTGACTGCTGCATTGTCTGTTTCTTTCATAAAGGCTTTATTTGCTTTTCATGCAGTTTCTTGTTGGTGCCATTAGTTACAGGGAAAAAAAGCTCTTGTTTTGGTCCAGATTAAACTTACGTATCTAAGAATCAATCTCACCTCTACTTTGTCTTCTTTTTCAACTCTGACAGCAGTTGTGTTTTATTGGGACATCTGGAAATGCCAGTTGTGACCCTTAAGGTATACTGGTGTGGAAGATGCAGTTGTGGTAGGACAGAGGGCAGTTACTGTGAGAAGCATTTGCAAAAAATTACTGCCACAGAGATGTTTGCTTAAACAGAACTTGCATTCTTTGTTCAGAATAAGTGAACAGAAAGTGTTACTGTCAAATAGCCATCCTGCTTTATGCTCTGCCTTCTTTGGAAGTGACTCCTGCACGTAGATAAAACCCTTTTTCTGAACAAAATGCTAGCACTTGAGCTGCCTGAGTCTTCCCATTTAATCTCAGAGATCTAGAAGAGTGTAGCTTTCCTGCATTCTTCCATTTCTGCAGTGATTACTGAATGTGAACTGTGAAATTCAGCCTTATTCATCAGTCGCTTCACAGTTGAATAACACCTCGACTATCATTTGATAAAAGAATCCCATATGCCACCTTACTGGTGCAGAATTAAGCAAGTCAGATGCCTGTTGGTGGGGGTTATCATTATAACAGGGAAAAACAGTGGTAAGAAAACAGTTCTTATTCCTGTCTAGGATAGCTGCACAACTGGCCAAGCTTGCTGGCTTTTTCCATAGTAGAGCTACCATAGGAAAAAATTTAGATTTGAAAGAAAAAAGGAAACTGGTCTTTAGATGCATGAAACAGTTATGCTGGTTGTATTCTTCAGGAAGGAATGCCTGGATTCACTGAAGTCCCAACATGGATAAGCCAAATTATATGAAGAATCTCGTTACTCAGGAAGTATGGAGGACTGAAATTATATTGATTCACTTCTGTAATTTATAGCAAATGTTTGTGTTAATGTCAAATACACTGGAGCCCAAGTTTAACTCAGCTTCTGTACTCTGTTGGGTTTAAAAAAAGAAACATGATCAGCAGTAAATTAATATTGCAGGTCTAACTCTGTTCTGCAATGGAACCATTGAATTTATGGCTTCATAAAGTATTTGATATCTTTAATTTGAACAGGCTGACTACTGCAGTTGATCTCCCTCCTGAATTTATTCATCTTTACATCTCCAACTGTATCTCCACTTGTGAACAGATTAAAGACAAATACATGCAGGTGAGTGCTCTACCTAACCAAAGAGAGATCTTTGGTTAGGAAAAAAGATCCTGTATCTTGCTCTGTGTAATACATTCTTAGACAGATAGATACATGCTTAGAGAGATAGCATTGTAAGTTATTCTGTCCTTATTTATTCCTAAGCATTAAATGGTTAATTTCTGCTTAGTTTTGAGCTGTAAGGCTTTTTTTTCTCTGACATAAGTATATCAGTTCCATACCTTTTGAGGTAATGTTACTCATGTAGAAGCCTCACCCCTCAGTTCTGCCAATTACTGACCTACAACAGCTTGCACACATCAAAGACCTAAAACCTCTTTTCTACCCTTATAATGCCACATTCTCTGCTTCCCAAATCCATCTTTCTTCCTTGGTTCCAGTATGCAAGCTGTAGCTGCTTCACAAATCTTTATCCCCATTGCAGCTGTTATCTGCATGCTGCACGAGGTATTCCTTCTATCCCAAACTTGTTCCCGTTCATTTCACCAAGTGCCCAGTAAGTCTTCTTTTCCTGGATATGTTTTTAGTAAAAAACAATTCCATGCTTAGTTCACGCCAGGCTTGGTGAGTTTTAACCAATTCCTCCCTCAGCCTTCTTCCCTTCATACTGAAGGACTGCAGCCTCATTAGGCTCATGCAAAGCAGCCGTTATATTCCTTTAAGCTTTCTGATTTCTTTTAGTGCCTTCTGTAGCTCTCCTATATCCTTAAGTTGCAGAAACCCAAGGTAAATGGGATATGAGGACAATGTGGTTTTAGATAGCAGCAAAATCTCCTGTCATGGTTGTAATCTGGAGAGGCACTGAGAACAACCACTTGTTAGTTTTTGGTGGCTGCTTGAAGCATGTCTGCTTTGGGACTTTGCCAGATACACATGGATACGCTGGCCTGGGACCTTTTGAATAGCTGGGCCTATTACATGAGGTAGCAGAACAGGAAAATAGAGCTGTGCTGTGGCTGAGAACACACTCAGCACCGTGTTCTACTCTGGGGCCTTGTTAGCAGCTGTGTTTCAGGCCCACGGGACAATAAAAGGAGGAACAGAGGGCCAAGGAGCACGTTCTGATCACTAAATGGCATTTAAGACCTGGGGGATGTCACTTTCGTTAATCCTGCACGAGGTCTCACAGCAACTGAAACAACATGTTTTGCAATGGCCCCAGTCATGACAACACATCTTAGGCTTTCATCCCTTAGGACTCTGTATATAAGGTTGCATAATAACAAAATGAAATGCAGTGTATAAGTGAATGTGATCATTTGTTCAGGGGGCTAATCTTGAAGGCACCTGTATCTGTAAGTACAGTACTGTAAAGCAGAGGAGCGAGTCCACTTTTAAATACAGCAGTAAAGGAGAGGTAGAAGAGCACGAGCAGCACGTTCAAAGCTTCGGAACAAGAGGGCTGCTGTACCTAAATTTCCCCTGCAGGGGCTGGTGCAGTGCTGAGGGCCAACACACTGCACTATGTGCAAACATGTATGAGAATTGTGAAACCATCTCTTCTGTTTCAGAACCGCCTGGTACGTCTTGTGTGTGTCTTTCTTCAGTCTTTGATCAGAAACAAAATTATCAATGTACAGGACTTGTTTATAGAAGTGCAAGCATTCTGCATTGAGTTCAGCCGGATCCGAGAAGCTGCTGGCCTTTTCAGGTTGCTGAAGACCCTGGACACTGGGGAAAACCCATCAGAGACAAAAACTTCTAAATAAGACTGTGCTGTCAGTGGAGGGGAAAAAGCCTGGCAGCATTCTGTACTAATTAATTGTATATTTCAAACTGAAATCACTGGATTAATAATGTCATACACTATAAATAGCATTTTCTGCATTGATCAATAAATGTTTTTCTCAGATGTGTGCTTAAGTTTCAGGTATTCTGGAGTACAGGTTACATTCTTATACTGGACTAGAAGCTCTACTCCTAGAGTGGAATGTAAATACTACTTTCCCTTCTGCATTAAATTCAAATACGTACTGGTACTTATTGCTTGTGTCCAAAACTGCTCACAAATAGCTGAAGGCAGCCACTATCCAAATAATTAACTTCAATTCAAATCAATTCTTTGCTCTGTAAGGCCTTCTGAAAAGCAGATGCAACTTCCAATGAGGCATGTACTTCTCAGCAGGTAAGGGAAAGTCTGTCCTGATGTTTAGAATAAGGTGAAAGGATAATTTTTAATGCTTATGATGGAAGTGTGTTGAGGTGTGAGCTGTAGGCTCAAAGCAATATACTCTCTTTTCCACATTAATGAACCTTTCCAGAATAGAGGCTTGTATCATCAGCAGTTGAAGTACCACAACTTCAGGCTTTTGAGAATGCTCTGCTGTGGAAAAAAAAAAAATGGCCCCATTTCTTCTGTAAAAACTGAAAGTCATAAAGCCTGTTCTCACTTCAGAACTTGCACAGCCACTTGCTTTGTGGCTACCAAAATTAAGATAACCTCCAGCTCATAGTGTAGAGTCAGAGACAAAGTGCTGGGGAAGGCAGGGAAAGGGTCAGCTAAAGTCTCATTTTAAATTCATGGTAAAATAATTGCTGATATTTAAGCCCTCAAATCTGAGGGGAAAAAAATGAGAAGAGGGCTAGTCCTAATTTAATGCTGCTAGATAAACAAAAGCTGTTTTATAGTTACAGGATAGCCACAGTTATAATCTAAATCTGCTGCTCAGATTTTTATGAAGCAGAAGATTGATAATGTAAGATCAAGGCTTTTGGTGCTATCTGAGTGCTGCCCGTTGCTAAATTCCTTGGATTGATGGGATTTTTCCAATCTCCTATTTTACACAATGTAATCTTTTTGTAAGATGTCCTGTAAAGACTTCTCTCTAGGCACTGGAGGATTAGACTGCTATAGTTTAGTTTCTCAGAGTTAGGATGGCCAATTAAATTAGCATTTCTCTGTGCTGAGGTGCAGATGCTGGGCCTGCTTTTATCCTTCCAGAAACTATGTTTTAAAAAACTCCCCTAACACAAACCCTGCATTTCATTTATTATTAGTAAACAGTGCAAAAATCTTTTTGAGCTGTTGTTTTGTGAAGGACTGGACCCAATAGAAGGAATCCACATTTAAGCGAGAGAAAAGTGTGAGGAAGGAGCAGCTAAAGCCTTACAAACTGACCACACTCCCCACTGCCCCCTGGTTGCTCAGAGCAGGGGGTGGAAGAATGGGGAGAAAGAACAGAAACAGGCTGAGAAGGGCAGGGGAAATGAGATGTTTTTGTTTTGCCTTTGTTTCCAGTTAGGAAAAAAAACTTCCCAAAGTCAAATCTGCTTTCTTTGCCTGTGACTGATTGGAAAGGAATCTCCCCATCTTATTTTCTTCCCCTCTTGTCCAGGAGAGGAAGCAAGAGAGCAATGTAGTGGGCCTTCAGCAACCAGCCAAGTTCAACCCACCACAGCTCTGTTTACACATGCAAAATAAAGAGAAAGCTGAAGTTCTTCAGAACATTGCTTTTTAAAAGGTCTGTATAATTTATTACGGAATTTAGCTTTTAGCCATTAAGTTACATCAACAATGCATAACTTGACATTCTTATAGTTGTACACACACAATGGGAAAACCAACAGTTTGGTGCTTAATCCAATCAATCAACGCAACCAAGTTAGTACAAGGCTACCATAAGAGCTGATTGTCTGTAGTTGTTGACAAAGACCAGCAAGTTGAAGTGGTTATCTGCACTTGTGTTTCTAGCAGAAGTGAATTCAAAGTTTTGGACTTCAGCTTCAAACTAATGACATGATGGAAACTCAAATTACTCTGCTGTTGTCAATTCAGAAGGATATGCTCATTTAAAAATACAGTATCATTACCGTGTTTCAGATGGTGAAAACTAGTTTCAGGTCCAATGGAAGTAAAATGAACAGCTTCCAGGCAATGCATTCTTCACACAAACACATGCAATCGTAGAGATATTCTACTCTTAAACTTTTTCAAATCGAGTTTTGCAATGCAGCAGGATATCCGAGGAGAGATATTAGGACCCATACTGAACAAAAACAAAAGCCACCAGCTTGATTTGTGCATTTTTAATCGACGATTCCAATTCCCAAATCTTCATGTATCACCTGTGAGAGAAAAGAACAACTAGTAAAGATCAGCATCAAGGACAGAAAAATCAAAGAGCAGTTGCCCTGCCCTCCTCCTCCACCTCAATGGCTCATTCCCTTAGCCCAGCTCCAAACTTCATCTTGTTACACAGTAAAAACATACACCTTCCTAGCTTGTCAAAATACCACTTGGATGGATTTATTTTTCTACCATTTAAGCTGAGTTAGTTTATCACACTCTTAAATTTGAATGCCAGAACTAAGTGAATAGTTCAAGCATAAAAGGAAAAAAGGAAAACTGGAAAACTCTTCTGCTCCTGTATCAGCAAATTCAATTGGTTTGGGGCATCTTGTCAAGTCTCACCAAGACTGATGACTGAAGTGAAACATGTGGAAGAGAACAGTCTCTCATCAAGCTGCCAACATCAAGAACACCATTCCCTCCAGGTTAACCTGATGAGATAATGACAGCTATCCCCCTCTACTACATGTCAGTTCCATCTCTCCTTGTAGTCAGTACTTCCTTAATAACCTCAGCATATTTGTCCAGCACAGAAATGCTGCAGTCAGTACCTAGCTCTTTGGACTTCAGCTTCAGACTAAGGAAATAAATTCCAACCAAAGACACCCAACCTCTGACAACTACACACATGACCTCCCTGCTCAGAAGACCATCAAGATCAAGCTCTTATAGCTCTTTTGAGCAAGAATTCCCAGTTTCACTGAACACTAGAATACTGATGTATATCAAGGCCATGTATTTATGGCACAGCTCTACTTATTGATTCACAGTGCCCTCAACTTCAAAGTAATGACTGGTACTGCTAACAGCAGCTGTCTAGACTTGGCTAGACAAAAGAAGTTTGTTTCTATGGGGCAGTTACACCTTCAGCTCAATATGCTATTCTATTTATTGCCACAATCATACAAAACCAACATTTTTGCTTCTGATGGAGCTTATCAAAACCTGTGAGTGCATATCCCACTTGTCTCAAGCACCCTCTGAAGCACAGGGATAGAAGGGGACAGTCATCACCACACGCATGCTGGGCTTCTTTGCACTGCCTGCTACTGCCTTGCCTTAGAGGGAAACCTAGAAAGCTGGGCAGAAAACCAGAAGACCACCCCTAAAACAAGAAGAGGTCAAAAAAAGATACTTTGCATGCTTCCCTAAAGTTGTTTCCCTATGCCCAATTACATCCCTGAATAGGGAAGAAATTCCTGAAGCACAGTAAGAAGCCAGCTTTGGTAGGAATATAGAAGCACCCAGTTCATTAGGTAAGTAAGAGTTAAAAACATTCTCACTGTGAACAAACCATCCTGCAACTCCTCTGGCATGCCTTCTCTTAAGAATCTAGCACTGATTACTGGCAACAGGACGACAGTCACACACTCAGCAGTAGGGCCCAGTCGAAGGAGTTGCTGCTATCTAATCAAATACTACAGAGAACCTCATCCAAGCGTTGCTTGAAGCCCATTTTTGCTTAGAAGAATGCAGCCTTAATTAGAGGTAGTTAGTGGAAAAAAAATCCAAATTGTCTTGTTAAACTGGTACCACTGGTAATTTAACTCACAGTTAAGATGCTTTTAGATTTGAAATGTCTACAAGTTCATTTTTTTTCTTGCCAACAGGTCTAAGAGCTGAAGCTAAGCTTTGAAAAAATTGCTATTACATTTTTCTTCAATTTAGCATTAGTATTAGCAAGATTCAGTCTCACTTTAAACATCAGCCCATTTGATACTTGTCTCCTTTCAAAATCTTTTGCACTTCACAAGTTTGCTCCCCAACAGTACCACTAGAAGTAATGAAATCATACTAACGAATGCCAACCCAATGAAATTTAACATCCTGTAGGAAGTACATTCCTTGGTCCTGCTAGGGATTTTCCCCTTTATTTACTTAACACTGCCCAGTGTGGCTGAGCATTTCATCCTGTTCACTTCATAATCACACCACATGGATGCCTCCAGCCACTCTGGAGGGTTTCAAAGAAATGTAACAAAGGGACAGATCTCAGAGAAAAACCTCTGCACGTTTTAGGAAAAACATGCAGCTAGAATGAGAACCCACAATACATACAGCATTAGCTCACACATTCGGCAGGAAATAGCCTCAACAGAGAGGCCGATTATAGATTCTACAAATGGTGGGGAAGGAAGTTAAAGGACATCTACCCTACCATAGGTAAAAATTACATATATATATAATCTGGGTACCTGTATTTACCCAGAGCTGCCTTCACCCACCTACCCTAAATGATCTGTTTCAGTTCTAACCATACGCTTCTAAGCCTCTTGGCTACTGCTTTAAGTTCCATAGACCGACTCTTTCCTGTTGTTTATTTTTACACTACCACTATTTTTGCTGAAGTACACAAGCTTTCTGAGGTCAGACCAACATTCGCTTCGGACAATTTTGTCATTGTGCTTCCAAGGAGAGCAAACTGCTTTTTGGAGGCACTGCAATTCGGCCTTTTATTGTCATCATTCCTCAGCACTACAGCTGTGACAGACTACGCACAAAGACTCCTGTGACATTTTGCATGAAACAGGTACAGTGACATGAGCAGACGTGTTCCAGGAACCTTTAATATTTGTACACTTCACCAAAGTAGTCAACACTTCAGATTTTCCTAAACACACTTGTCAATTTGCAGCTTCTCTACCCTTCCTTCCAGATTTCAGCTTCAATTCTAAACCAAAGCTTTTTGTTTTAGAGCTATTACTTAAAAATTTAAGTACTTACCATAATTCTCCCCTCCAGCATGAATACTGCACTGCAGATATCAGCAAGATACAATCCACAGATTAACAAGACTTCTCTTGGTAATTCCTCTTGGTTCCTCCATGAGCTAGAGTTTAAACCCTCTCAACATTTACTAACAGAAACAATGTTCAATTTTGTGTTAAGGAAGAGGGAGAAGACTTAGTTTATAACGTTGAAGAGATAGTTGAAAAGGCAGTTCTGGAAATGTTGATAGGCTTCTTTTGGAGACAAACGTCCCTATATATTGTCTGTTTTAGTTGTGGGCTGTTTTTTTATTTGTTCAGTTTTGGAGATGCTTGGTCAGTCATATTCCATTCTCATGTGCTTCTTGTAAGATAAAGGCATCACAAAAACTTGCACCTGCTGGTGACATCAGAACTACAACCTGACAATTTTCCAGTAAACCTAAAAATTACACTCCTACAAGGAAGAGGCAGATTATTGTCAACAAGCAAGCATTAACAGGAACATTTTGAAGTAAATTTAGGATGAAACATCTGCTCTGCAAAGTAGAAGTTCAGACTGTGTTTCCCCAGATGAAATCTCTCATTTCTGGAACATTCATTCTAAACTTAAGAAAAGTTATTGCTTCTATTGAAGCTCAATGTAAGTTAGAAAAAGAATTGCATATTTTCATAAAAACATTCCAAATGTACATTTTAAAAACTAAATGCATTCTGAAACAAATGTCTGGTAACAGACACCGTTTTAAGCAACCTGTAAGACCAGCTTTACCCAAAATTAAGGAACATAGCACGTTTATAACACGACAATGCTAAAATCCTAAGCGATTCATGTATACCCTTATTAAGTAGTGTTTTAAATATACATATTCCTTTACAAAACAGCTTAGCAATTCCCTATACCGCTTAAGAGTACATAAATATAAGAGGTCATACTGGGAGATGTCAGGGTTTATATTTACTCTCGGATGCTTCAGGTTTCACAGGTGTTTGACTATAAGGCACAGTACTGCTAATCTGAAAGAAAGGGATGCAAGGTGGTGACAAACCCCGTCAAAACCCCCTATTATGGAATCTCCAGGAGGAGAATTCTAGCATCTCTACACAAAGAAAAGGTGTTTGTAGGTCCTAAGAAACAGTTTCAATTTGCACATAAAGATGGGAGCAGGAATAAGAAGGAATTAAGTCTTATAAATAGACTAATAAATACGTTTTAGCTATAGTTAGCCCTTTACCTCTGTTCTACTGAGTTTAAGATTGGAAGAGGTAATCAGTGTGCATATACCTAAATAAGTCTACATGCTCAGCACGTGAAGACCACTTAGCACAACCTATTGCTGCCAAATTCAGTATGAAAAGCTAGTGAGACAGAGTCCCCTTTTGCTCTCAGTGGAACACGTTACAAGATCAAATTATTATTTATTATATGTACAGAAAGTTGCAACTACTAATTTTTTCATCCAAGCGGATATGTAATATACCCATTAAGTTGGTTCCTTCAAAGACTAGATTGTGTCTTCTTTTTTAACAATGTCCATCTCCAATTACAACAGAACTTTCAAAACATTTTAATCATGGTAGTCTTGTAAGTGTTCTCCATATATACATGCTGAACACGAGTAGTGCTTCCAAAATATTTATCCATTAGACATTCTACATTGTCTCGCTGCCTTGTCTTCATCTTGTTACAGCCCTCTGAAACACAATGACATTGTAATAATGCTTACAGAAAAAGGGTTATTGCATCTTTTTATAGGATGAGACATCCAGAGGAAGTTTTATAAAATCCTCTTGCGTACAAAATTTTTAGTTATTAGCCCTTTTGGAACACCAGCTAGAAAAGTTTGAAAGGTAAAATAATTTACATTGTTATTTTTCCATTAACCAGACAAAAGTTCATACTACTTAAATAAAAAATAGTTCTTCGACAACCTATCCAAGGTATCTTCCATGAAGCAGCTCAGTGGGAATTTCCATTAGATAGATGCTCTCCATGCCGGTTATTACTGACATCCACATCTAGAAGTCAGAAACCAGAAGAAAATTTGTTTCTAGATTCATCTTCTAAATTGCTTTATCTAAATTCTAGCAACAAGTAGTCATGTATATGTAAGGTTCAAAATGCTCCACATAAGTAAACAGGTGTTTTGGGAAGATTGTATCTCTTCCCTCCCCAAACAATTTTTTTCCAATCTTGACAGGACTCCCTCATGATCTACCTGCCTCTGTTTTCTGAACATCAGTACAAGCACCACTCAATCTGCTCTGCAGTGCAATACTAAGACTACTAACATCATTTGGAGATCTTCCAGAGATCATTTGGCATCTTCCAGTGCCAATAATGGCACCACGGATTATGAAGTGATGAGCTGAATTATTACTTACCAAGTAACGCTGTGGTTTCACCTGCATCCTCTTTTAAACTGGTACACTGCAATACAGATTCACTGGTGGAGGAAGCTGACAGTTCGCTTACTTCATTTCTCTCATCTTCTTGTAAAGCAATACTCAGACTTCCAACTGACACACTGCCACTTATTGATTCAGGTATTGGAACTTCTAGTGCATCTTCAGGGTCCCCCTTCAAAATTAAAATACATTAATTGACACTTTGGTCAACCATTACACATCAACATTCTTCCATATTATCACTTCATATCTTCACCTTATTGGAAAAAATGACTCTTCTCAGCTAGTGTTGCCTATAAGCTCACAGGTATAGTATTTAGCAGTGTCTACTTCAAATGTCAATGGCAGATCCCCAAAAAAACTCAGAAAACCAAGAGTGGTGGCAATGGCAGGAGTCAACCCATCCAGCTGGAGTATGTCAACACTTCAGCAATAGTATTGATGCAGTCTATTGATGCAGTACTGATGCAGTTTAAGTGCACACTCAGCACGTATGAAGTCCTCGCTGAGCAAACCTACTGATTATGCAGAAGATGATATAAACTGCTGTTTTTTCACAATAGTAGTTTGGCAAGGTGCAATTTTTTCTCTTCTTAAACTGGAGTAAACAAAGTTTGACATAGGAAAAAGCTTCTCTCCACCTCTTCCTCCAGCCTAACTTTAAATGCTGGTCTGAAAAAAAAGAAGTAATGCCAGCTCCTTACATTGCAGGAATAAAACTTGCAGTGTGAGCAAAGGAACTTCTTAATCTGGGGGGAAACATAAGCTACTTCTCATAACTTTTAGGATGGATCCAAGTCCTACATATGCAATTCTGTTCCTAAAATTGAACCTTAAGCTATTGGTATTAACACAATCAGACTATTTGAATACACAAGTACAGTGCAGCACAAGTAGCTCTCCTGCAGGCTACAGAATTATCACTTTCCCCCTGCTCAAAAAATTAGCAAAGGAGGCCTGTCTTAAGAAATCCTATGCTGTTCCTTCCTTTGCTCTTAGAACACCACACTTTATAGCATGCTGGATTTTATTAAGCTGTAGAACAATTACATCTGAACACAAGTTGAGACACGTGACACTAAACTCCAAAGGGTGCGAGCGTCAGGGAAAAGACCAGTGACTTTTTGTTTTCAAAGCTTCAGCAGCTAAATAAGCACTGAAAGTTCAACAATGCTCACCTAAACCAGAAAGTCAGACATGCTGAACTCTCATTTTTCATAAGAAGTAGTAATGAGCCCACTAAGTACACAATTTACAAAACACAAAGTAAGTAACAGGACTTCCTGTCTTCTTTCTACCATAAGCATTTAAATATACGGAAGCATCTGAAGTGTTTACCATAAAACTGAATTCAGCCTTCAAGCTCTTAGCATGCCTCAAGAAACTTCTGTAATAAGGCTGTACCTTCAAATCTGTTGTTACAAGTCAGCAAGCACCCTACTGAAAAGCTGCCTTGCTCTTCACGCTTCTTTGCTCATATTAGCAAAACATTTATGCAATTGCTCTGTGTATCAGAATGGACAACCTGGATGAGGCTGAAGACCAAGCTAGAAAAAAAAATAGCTGAATGATATCTCACACTACTAATTCCAGCACAATCTGGATGGCTGAGAAGATATTTTCTCCATTCCACAGAAAAGAGAACTGGGCTTCTGTGTTTAATACAACTTCATTCAACCTGCTTCCAATATTTTTAACCAACAAGCAGAGTCATTAATCCTCTTGGTTAGCATTGGTATCAGTACCTCCTGCAACAGCAGGAATTCAAGGAATAGGAGTGTTCTGAAATGTTTCAGCTTTGAGACTGTATATGAAAGGATATAACCTTTCACAGACAACACCAGTTATGTCAACATCAAGACTTGAAAACAAGCAAGAAGCAAGCTGTTAACAATAGTAATGTAGTTATTTCACGTGAGAAGATTGCAACTCCTAGATAAAGCCTTACTTGCTACGCAGAACCACCATAATTTGGTGTATATGTACACATAGAATGTAATATGTATATATACACACACACTGCATACCAGGAGTATTGCCATCCTTCACAAAACAAAAAAGTCAGTCAACCGTATACCTGCTAAATCTCTGTAACAAAATAAGAGAGAAGCTAGTCATAAGGCAGACCTAGCCAATGAAAGGAAGGCCCCTGAATCCAAGGAACACCCCTGCTTCCTGAGGGTCTCTGCAGATCAGTAGAAGAGAACAGGTACATTCGTGTCTAAGGCATCTTAATGGAACTCAAGACTATTTACCAACAATGACCAAGTAACCTACCGCGTGTGTCTTCATCTCTCTTTTCTGGTGCTGTCAGGAAGAAATGAGAGCACATCATTTTCTCTATTTAACCAATTTCCAATCAATGTCTTTAGGAAGGTTCTCAGTAGTGCCTCATTTACAGGGATAAAATACTGGGTATATGTGGAATTATATATAAATGTGCTCAAATATATGAAAGTTATACTAAATTTACTTCGAATTGCAGTTCTCAACAAGATTGAAAACATACATGTAATCTATTGAATTAAGTTAGTTTTTGGTAGCTTGAGCAAATTGCCTCATTTCTGCTTTTACTATTGTCAGCTGATGGCAGGAAAAAAAAAAAAAAAAAGATCACCACAATGTACACAGAGGGTTCATAAACAGTTCAATATTCTGTTTAAGCTCCTACCCACAGAATTCCCTTTTTTTTTTCATATTCTCATTCGCTCTTGTATCTGTGCTCAGCTTCTCCAGCTAGTGAAGTCGTAACTGTTCTCATTCTGAACAGTTACATGAAGACTTGCTCAATGCATTACACTTCTTTCTCGAAGATTAAAACAAGCATGCAACATACCCAGTATCCCAAAGCTTTGATAACATCCAGTTTACACATCGGACAAGTTCGGTGATCCAAAAGCCAAGGGTCAATGCATGTTCTATGGAAGATGTGTCTGGAAAAAAAAAAAGTACCCTTTAGAACTTATTATGAAAACCACACGTTACTTCTTTAAAAGATATGCAAGGCACTGCCTTGACAGGTAACCCAACTCCTCTATAACCCTGACATATCAGTACTGCTTAATTTACTAGGACAAATGTAATCATAAGCTCTGGAAGCATCTTTTCCAGGTATGTTAACCTAAAATAAAAGATAGCACTAACTACAAAGACATCACTGAAGTATCATTTCAACTGTGTACAATTCAAACTTACAGTTCTATTTCATTTTTACACTTCTCCCAATTGTTTCTTTTCCTTCCATATGTATGAAACTCTACACTGTCTCCCAGTGCCCTTCTATGTGCAACAGGCCATAGGAATGGCAGGACTTCAGCTCTGATAGCAGTTTCAAGAGTCTCCAAAAGGTTTGTCAATTTTTGGTTAGGTAAAATACAGCACAAAGAGAAAAGAATAACAATGTTAACTTACTTGCATGGCAGAATTCGGACAGTATCTTTCAGTTTGTAGTTCTCAATGCACACAGCACAGTTTTCCACATCAACATCTAGACCCTAAAGACGATAACATTTAAATGCATTGCATCCACGTCATCACAGAACAAACTTCTGAGTTCCCATAAAAGGTGGTATAAGTTAGCTCAGCAAATAAAAACACATCCCTCATTTAATTCTAGATGAGGTGATTTGATCAAGTGATACCAAATACCAAAAGCCAGGCCCCTAACTCAAGAGTTTCTAATTGAAATAGCTATACATGGTATGCTAAGCTATCTGTTAGACCTCAAACACTGGCTAGGAGATTGGCTCCCATGAACAACTTACAAAAAACACAACAATCTAGAAATTTTTTTAAAAAGCCAGCATAAATGAGCTTCCAATCTAACTTTTAACTGATCCAAGACTTGCAAGAGACTAAGCAGAGAGTGGTCCTTGAGGGTAAATACTGTGAACCATCTTTTTCCATATATACTTTTCTTCTACCACATCTAATATATATACTTTGGAGGCCAAAGGAGGAGAAGTAAAATTTTATAATGATTTTTAAGTCTCTTCTCCAAGCTTACAGCATAACGAGTTCAAACAGGATTCCCCCCATCCCTACTTTTTTAGGGGTTATTTAAATTTTCTTAACAGGTCTTACTGCCTCCTTGAAGCCTTACTTATGGTTATAGTAGGTACAATAAATACCTCCTGACAAGAGAAATAATTCAGTGTTGAGTTGTTTAAAAATAAGTATTAGAAGAACACACAGTGGGCCAATTCCTTCCATCCTCCACTGAAATATTTCACATTTACTGCTGACTGAAACAGTTTAAAATTACCACAAACATTCAAATGAATTAGTATGACAAGGAAACTCAACTTCAAGGCAAAGTTTTTCCCTCCTTTACATGCTATTACTTTACATGATGTCTCAAATTCCCAATTTCTTTTATTTTTATTTTTTTTTAATATAAGCAGTTTAGGATAAATATTTTCCTATCATAAATGTTTTTTCTTATTCTACACAAGAGACAAAACCCAAGCATGCAGCACATGACCGAATGAGTGTCCATCTCGCAATAATCCCATAAGCCTCTCAGGAAAGATCTACATGATAGCAAACAATTTTAAAAGGTTGACCCATTTTTAGTTAAATATCTCGACTACGACAGAAGTGACAATAAAAAAAACTGTACTTTATCACAATAAGCAGAATAATTGCACTCTTTCTGTCATAAGGACAGAATGAATGGAAATATGAATGGTACCATTTTTCTTTAGAGGCAAGGCCGTGTTTTCAGATAAATTCACATTAGTTCAAAGGTACATTTGCACCTCTAAGTTACCAAAATTTGCTGGTAGTTGGGTGACTCAAAACAATTGGTAAGATATGGTTCACCAAGCAGAAAACCTTTATTTTAGATATTTTTATCTAATTTCATCCTTTGCTTGATCAATGTGCCACTAATAGCTGCTATGAGCAGACTGCACAAGAACTTTGTTAAATCCCCCTATGTCATTTACTTTGCTTACAGATACATTAATAGGAATGAACTGATATGCTGTAAAATCCCCCCTTTCTATAGGCTGATTGAGAATCAGCTTAAAAGCAATTAACAGCTCCACTGTGGTCCTCATGATAGAGTTTACCATGACTCTTCTACATCCATTTCTTTCCACGCAGATGCTACACTTTGACACTACTTCATGTAAGTTGTTACACAGTTCTATATTTCCTTCTTTCTAACTTCACCTTGTGAGGAATATGCACATTCCCCATTCCAAGCTTGGCAGATTACTTTTTGATTTACAATTTAGTTCAAAGCAAGAAATACTTTTAAAGTACTAAACTAAAGTACTCAATGTACAAGAGGTAAAAATAATAATAATAATAATAATAATAAGGCAGGCTCTGTGACTGTTTTAACCTCAAGCTAGTTTGCTATACAAAGGACACGCTTTCCATAGCGTATACCTTAAACTAAACAGCATCAGTTGCACCACATCTTTTGAAGTTCTTAAGCACCCTTTTTCACCTTAATTTTATTCATGGATTTAAAGAAAATTCTTGTTTTCATCTCTAAACAAGTCAGTCCTTAAGTAAAACCTGATCAAATAAAACAAATAAGGTTGGGAAAGAAATGTCTGTATGCTAGCAGAAATCTTCTCAGAAGTTAATTTAGCTTTTAGATTCACAGCTGCCTGAAGCTAAATTGTTTCTTTCAAAACATCTCTTTTTTTCCTACCTCATATTTGTTCCATGAGTTATTAGTTTAGGCCTTAAGCTGGTAAAATTAACTTTTTGAAAGCTATACTGAATTTTTAGAATCGCTTATTCTAGTGGAACTGTTTTAGCTTCTTACATTTGTACTTGAAGTCTTTATAGCTCATGTATCATATGCTGAAAAAGTTGAAAAAGCGTTTTGCTTTTCAAAGCTTTTTAGGTTTGTAAGGCCCTCTGAAAAATAAAATGGGATGTTCTCTTAAACGAAAAGCTTATATCAGCTACACAAACTATGCAACCAATAGTCCTAGGAAGAACTTTGCAATCTACCTGTTGATGTTTTCAAGTGCTTCTAAGATCAATGTTACCTCATCTTTATAGCACTATCAGCCCTTTCTTATCCTCTGCTCTGTGTAACTAGATACAAAGTGCAACGAACCAGCCTTATGTTTCAGAAGCAGTTGAATTTTGACTCTTCAATTTTAAAATTGGTCTTCTAGCAAAGGCAATGAAATTAGCCTAAAATTGTAAGAATCTCACCGCAGTTATTTTGAGATAATTTCAGACTAAATTCCAATAAGGCATTATGACACATTTCAAATCATTCATCAAAAACCAAAGCCACCAAGTTACCTTGTCTCCACGTTTCACAGTATGCAGTTGAAGCTGGCTGATTGCTTTCTTGGTTTCTTTCCTATGTCCCTTGAATAAAGATGTGAAGCATTAGCATAGACTTGAGCTTTAAGAGACGCATTTCAAAGCTTTTAAACATTTTCCACATGGATTACTAAGCCTCCTGAATGCATCAGAAAATTCAACTCTGGCCAGATAATTTATTTACAAAGTACTGCCAGCCAGCAGAGGCAGAAGAACTTGCATTCTTGGGGCACAATAGTAAACATTATCTATAGGCATACCGCTCTAACAATGGCCTGAGCTGGCACAGAACTAAGCAGATCAAACAGACATACAGTCTTGTACAGTAGCTGCCTGCATTAAGGGCCTTCCCACACAGGAAAATTGAAGTTAATTTATGCTTTAGAGCTGCAACAACAGAATTAACCAGACCTTCTTGTTAGGCCAAGCAATGAGCAAGCAGGCTGTAGGTTTTACACAAGCTTGAGAGTAGGTGGAATCCTGCTGAGTAGCCTACAGCTGGCTACCAGGTCAAAAGGCTGCTTGTAGCTATTCATGCCTTCCCTTGTTAAACACTGTCTAACACATTATCCAAAGCTTTACACTGAAAGGACACATTATGCAAAGGAGACAACAAGAAAGGCTTCACAGACATGAGACAACATACTGGACTCCTATACAGTAACAGCCCTAATTATGCTTAGAGGGGAAGCAAGCAAATAAAGCAGTACTGTATTCTAAGACAAAGACATAGCTACTGCTAGAAACCAAACATTCCCAATTAAGAGTTTGATCAACCTAGCAAGAACTCCCACTGATGAAATATAATAATAATAAAAAAAAAAAAGCAGCTTTTCTCTTAATGATGTCACAACTTATATCTTTATATGAACTTGAAGTACCTTTCTTCTCCCCTCTCAAGTAATCACAGAATGGCTTGGCTTGGCAAGAGATCCCAAGGATCATCACGTTCCAACCCCCATGATAGAAAGTAGTCTGAAACTTCCCCTACACTGCACTTCACCAGCAGCAGTTTCTTCCACCTTCTATACCAGCTCAGGTTTCCTGCACTGGCCTGCTTCACGTCCAGCAGCAAGAAGCTGTTCAAAGATTTACTGCTAAACTGATATTAGAATGTGTCACAAGACACCCTTCCACAACCTCACTAAGCAGCTGCAGAATAGCTTGCTTTATACCATGTCATAATTAACTTCAAAGTTTTAATTGTGCTGAAGTCAATAAGCCAAACAAATAAGATTCAGGTCACGTTTCCAAATTTCTCTCAAGATTTCTAACACTATATTTTGACCAAAGATATTCAAAACATCTCACAGCTTCAGTTTCGTAAATCGGTTTTCAACAGTCGCTATAAAAGCAGAAGATCTGGGGAACATGGCATAACAGCCTAACGCTAGATAATTTCATTTCATTAAAAAGCATTTAGATGACAAACTGTTTATGGCTTATGTTTATGGTACATATTTTTGGGAAGCATCCCATTCAATCTAAAATCTACAAATACAAAGCATTTGATTTTCCTCTAGGGTGAACTGTCCTCAGGTACACACAGGCAGGAAGAAACGGCTTTCTTAACTTAAAAGTTAGAACAAAAATGCACTCCTTTTTCTCTAAGTGTTTCATAAGAAAATACTTTTCTTAGAATTTACATTCTGAGAATATTTTCAAGGCTTAAATATTTGAAAAGAAAAAGGAAAAGAAGACTACAGGGAATCAATACTTCATGACTTCATGTAGACTGCAAGTTTAACTAATACAGGAACATAGAAAGGGCAAAGCAGAACAGAAGTCATTCCTTCCTGACCTCTCCTGTTCTCCCACCATGCTCTCCACTTCTAACAGTCCCACTGAGCACAATCACACACAATATGTGCTCCTTCCAAAGCACTGCTATTCACAGCAGGTTTTGTAAGGCATTAGAACCAAAAATTTTAGCTCTAATTATTCTGTCTTAAAAATAAGAATTACTATGGTCTCCTTCTTCATTAAAAAAAAATAAATAAATTCTGGTTAGTAAAGTTAATACCTTCAGAATGAAAATTACATAAGAATGAAAATAACATCCACCCTTTTAACATTAAAAATTAACTTAGGTGACAAATAACACAAGAAACTGCCTTCATTTATTTTTTAATGATTGGCTAAATTAATTTCCCACTACTTCATACTGGTTTCTATAATTAAAACTGGCCAAGCATATAGTGTTAACTAGCAAACTGTTTATTAGCCTCACTAATCATCACTGAATACTCTTGGAGGGCTGTAAGAAAGAAGGGGACAGACTCTATAGCAGGAATTGTGACAGTACAAGGGGAAAAAGATTTCAAACTAGACTAGAGGAGATTTAGATTGAATAGAAGCGATTTTATTGATTTATGTTTTACAATAAGGGTGGGGAGGCACTGGATCAAGTTGTTCAGAGATGAAGTGGAAGTCCTGTCCTTGTCAAAGTCAGGCTGGACAGGGCTCTGAGCAACATGATCTAGCTCTAAGTATTGCAGTTTGCTGTAGGAGAGTTGGATTAGATGACCTTTAAGGGTCCCTTCCAACTCAAACAACAGTACAATTCTATGACAATATGGACAAGATGGAACAGATCTTTAAAAACGCTTCAATAAAACACGGCAAGTTAGGCGACTGATCTGACAGAAGACTGCAAGTACTTGTAAGCTGCATCTCCAATTACCTGGTTTCCAAACTGTGATCCTGTGTACAGGAAACGTTGGATATAGTAAAAGATCAGCCAAGCAAGCGATATAATCATCATGGTGATGAAGGCAATGGCAACAAACACAACCGACTGACCGCTGATGTATTCCTGCACGTGACGCGTGCCAACGCCAATGGTCATTCTTACTGGAATGCCTCTTCGTACTGGCTCCAGTATCTCTATTCCTTTCGGATAACCAACCATTATCACCACTGTATTTCCTGTTCCTGTTAGAGGGGGGGGGAAAAAGAAAAATTAAGTAGAAATTTTGGCATTCTGGCTTGACAGTAATTTGGGCCTCTTCAATTAAGAGCAGGGAGCAAAATTACAGGAAAGTGTCCTCATTTTTTCCAAGTACAGCAGAACTTACATGAAGTTTAATAATAGAGAACCCTTTACTTACATTGTGAAACTCAAGTGGGAGATATTTAGGAGTTTGCACTACTAAATGAATTAAAAGTACACTTTACTTTTATCAAGGCCCTACACTCCTCATTCCACACAGCAAGAGGAAGTGTAGATGCCATGCAAAAAGCTGGCAAGCTAGATCTTATATTGAATTTGCTAAGATTCTAATATACAACTCAAGAACAGTTGTCCTTCGTTAACGTAGGAACTTGCACTGCAGCTGTAGACAGAATGTAAACTACCACAAAAAGAGAAACATTCAGTTAAGTTTGAATTGGAATTGACAGCACAATTAGACTGCACACAAGACAATAACAAAAAGACTGGATAATTAATATTCAATTACATTATTCAATACTAAGTATTCGCAATCTAAAGGGACATCAAGGTGAGAACTTGTCAAGAAATACTTTTGGACTCTTCTGGAAGCATGCAACAAAAATATGTATTTTCTTAAATACTAAAACTCAAAAGCATCCCATGCATATGGAAGAGAAAGCACCTAATAAATAAAAAAAAAAAGCACCATGTTGCAGCCAAACAAGCTAAGATACTGTCAAGACCAAATTGCATGAACAAAGACTCTTTGTGACTAGGGTTTTACTCAGTTTCGTCTGGAAGTGATTCTAGTATTGTCTCAAAATCTGATCAGTATTACAAAACAAATGGAAATCAAATATACTTGTTATGAATGTCACCTTTTCACTGGTCCATGCTGTTTTTATTTGAATAGTTCTTACTATACGCCCTTGGTAAATTACGGCTTTCTAGTTTGCCTTGTACTCCTGACTGAGAAAAATCAAAACAAAGCTTGATCCAAGGAAAAAGTCATGGAATAAAGAATAGAATTTCCCCAGCTGAAAATAAGAAATTGTAATATCACAGCTACCCTTTCAGATTCACAACTTTACTGACTTGCTACTTGCAGTGAAGCCTCCCCACTGAAGATGTAAAGCCTTTTCCATTCCCAATTGCATTAGTGGCACTAGTGGCAAGTCATGTTAAAAGAAACTGTCGCTTAATGTATGACATTATGTTCAGTGGGATTCTGAAAACTTGGAAAACCATTTTGGACTCACTGCCTATTACCATGCAGTTATTTGCCTTAAATATTTCAGACATCTTCCAGCTGAGACCATTCTTACCGAGACACCCACTCAACCTTGCCACCTCAGTAACACTCCAAGGGGAATGGGCTCACAGTGCACTTCTGCAGGCAGCAGCTTCCAAACCCTCCCCAGAAGGTGTGATGGGCAGCTGTGGATGAAAAGTCGCAGGTTCCCAAGCACAAGCTGAATAACCCTCCTGTCTGAATGCCAGGTAAGCTTTCCCAGCTCCACCTTATGCAATCACCCCACTGTTCACCTACCGTAAGAACTACTACACCCACCAGCTGCTTCCAGGCCTGGCAAGAGAGCAGCATTTCCAAATAGGGCTGGGTTTCTCAAAGGTCTGAGAAAAAGGTGCTGCAGGAAGGCCCAGCTTATGTCCCTGCTTAGCCATTCCGCATTTGCTCACCAGAAGCTATCTGCCCAGCCAGCATTCACCTAGATCCCAGCGTGTGCTGTCTTGCGTACTGGTTGTATTCAGGAGATGCAGAGCAGTGAAATTTAAGACAAATAGGGCAAATCCATGAGCAACTTGCTCCCTAATTAGCTCTACTCACCAACAGTGTGATTATTCACACAAACAATACCGCACATCCAAGCACACTCAGAGTTGTGTAACAATTATTATTTTCCTTCCTGAACCAGCACAAAAGCATTACCAGAGAAACTAACGAATCCTGTAGAGAAGATCGCACGATACTCTCCTTGCTTTCTGACCTCGCACTGCATCACTAAGTTACCAAGAAAAGAACATATTAAGTTAAAAATGTATCCCACATAACCAAGAACCATTCTCTGCAAGCCTTCATCTCCTGATTTAGGTATATGGTTAATTAATTGCAAGAATTCACAAATACCAGGATGGGTGGCACCAGCATTCATGTACTTTCATTCTGACTTGAAGAATAGAAGGCTGGAAGCAGCCTAGGTTTTTCAACCGACACAGACTTCCTCTTCAAGCCCAAAATCTGCACTCAATTTAAACATGCTACATAGACCTCTGCACAGTTTCTCTCTCACACACACACTTTAATACCCCACAGCTCTTAGCAATGCCTATATCTGTAGTGTCACTGGCATGGCCAAGTAGCAGTCAGTTATTTACTTGAATTGGAAAGCAGGGTATTTCTGCACGACTGCTAGGTACTGTGACAGCTTCCACTTTTAAAACTAATGCAACTACTGCAAATTTTATTAAATGTCCATTAAAAGCATTTTAGCAGCTTTAAAGACTTGGTGAGGAGCCTGCTAAGATGCACACAGTTAAACATGATGACCTCAAAGGTCATGAGATGTAAGGAAGAACGAAAAAAAAAATACCAAGATCCACTATTACAAAAGCAATCTCAGAGAGACGTTGCCCTGAGCAGCCTGCAAGACTGAGGACTTTAACTCATTCCTCACTCTAATTTTAGACTTCTGTTCTGAAACGCATAATTCAAAGACAAATGGTGTTGAGTCATTCCATCAGCTTCAACTGCAACACAACTCAAACCTGAAAAAAAAAAAATAAATAAAAAAAATCACACTTTTAAAAACCTCAAAGTCACATACGCTTGTTGGGAGCACATTTTGCTGGCTTTGCTATTCTATACTTGTTTCTACTTCTGCAATCACCAACCACATTTTTACCCCATTACAATAAACCTGGATTATTTGTAAGATTTGCTTCATGCTTCAGCAGTCAGGTAGATTTGGAATCTGGTGTGTGCTTTTCTAACCATTATCATCTCAACTGAGTGCTGGGAAATCCTTAGGATACCTGAAAATAACGACAGAATCACAGAAACACCAAGGTTGTAAAAGACCTACATCATCCAGTCCAACCACCCACCTATCACCAATAGTTCTCACTAAACCACGTCTCTCAACACAAACTCCAACCGTTCCTTGAACACCTCCAGGGTCGGTGACTCCACCACCTCCCTGGGCAGCCCATTCCAGTGCTTACAGAATCACAATGTACATGTTTGAAACTCTGTGGAGATGAAGGTATGTACCCTGCTACTGAGCCAAGGTCAGTTCTACTGCATATATTGTTACAGCCTCCTCTTGCAGATGGCAGCCAGCACTCTCCTCACAAGGAGAAAGCTATACAGATAGAAGCCTCTTGATTACACATAGCCTACACAACCACCCTTATTCCCATTCATGAATGCATACAACATAAAGAACATCTTCTATCATCCAGAAACCAACCACAGTCGTACTCAGTTTCTGTCCTCATGAGAAATGTCTGAAGGCTCTCAAGGTTTGAGGGAGCTGAGCCCTTAGAGCTAATTAAAATATCTTACTTACATTGCCACAATTAACACTGAATATGTTCTGCTCCTGGCAGCAAAACAAAGTCTCTGATCTTTGCCAGTGCCATTTACAGCAGCAATCAGATGACAAGCTTTTCCCCAATCACCCAACCCCACCTCATCTCCCCAGATCCTAGGTTTGTGTGTTGTCACATGCCTCAAGAAGCAAGTATACAATCAGAAGAGTCAAGTAGCCAAGCAACTTATACAGGCTCAAGTCCCTCTTTCCACATGGGCTTCCAACATGCATGTACTTTTACACACAGAATAACACAAGCATCTTGAAATTACTTTCGTTTCTTTTGAAACAACTTAGCAGCCCAACACAACAGCTGTTGTCCAGGTTAAGTAAGCCTCCGATTTCAGTTCTGTCCTTTCAGTAAAACAGCACTAAAGCCTTCAGTAGTGAGCAGTGTTAACACAGAGGATTCTCAAGTGGTACATAACTTAAGTATCACTCAGGTCTCTGAAAGAAAAGTGGCAAAGAGTTGAAGTACGTGCCAAAATAATCCTAACTCTGCCCCTTGGGAGCTGGCAGGAGCTTTTAGAATTGTCAGTACAAAATCATTCACACCTATTTTGTTCAATGTAGCTGCGTAAAAAACACGTCAATGAATTAGCTGGGTATATTTTGGCAAAGCCTCATTAAAAATAAGTTACATAAAGAAAACTGTCTTAAGTGTATGATTTCAGCTATGACCCAAGCTTCCCTGAAATCCACAAGCCACACACTGAAGCTCCATTCCAGACTCATCTTAAACGACTGCAGCTGGTCCCCATTCCTCCATACAATAGTCAACAGCTGTCAAGCAGAGCAATACTTCATATTTTACTCCTATTTACATTCTGATCAGGATCCTAAAATCATAGTTTGAGAGAGTATTCACAAATGGCTGGATGCCCAGCACAAAGTATCAGTCTCTTCACTTCCCTATTTCCAGGCCAGCGCACACAGAGCACACCCCAGCTCATTGGTCTACTCCCTACAATTCTCTACACCTTGACAATCCAGACTCCTCCCCAACCCAACCTCTCCCAGATAGTATTTATATACTGTATTTATTTTCCTTTCAGAAAGGAATTTTAAACCTTTGCATTACATTAAGTTCCCCCCCCCTCCCCTCCAAAATAAACAGAGTTCAAAACACCTGCAAACTCTTGTATTTCTGTGAACCTGAAGATGGAGTTTAGACCATTCAGATACACTAACTGAAGGATTGAGAACTCCTTGAGTCATCCAAGCAAAACAAATGCTTTCCACTGGAAAAAAATGCTCCACAGCCACACGTGAAGTGGTTTCACTACTACTTCCCTCAGGGAGACAAGACATGCAACATTCTGAAGAACTTAACTCAGAGAGAGGCCTGAAACATAGGAGACATCAGTAAAAAGCTGTATCTGAAGAACCTTCTTTTGCAGAAAGGAACAGGCCTGCAAGGCTAAGTGCTCAAACTCCTGGCTGTGATGCTCCAAAACTACTAACTGAAATCCCTGCTCACTGCATTCCTGTGACGCATGTAGGGCACCCATAAAGCAAACAACTAATCTGCAGATTATTTGGAATTTTTGTCTTTAGTCAAATGCTTTGACACCAGCTAGCACAAATCACTTCTTGGCCTCACCAACAATCTTTTTACACAAGCTGGAGTAAGCCTAAAAACAGGCAACTGCCACCACCACGTGCACAAGAAATGTTAAAGGCAAGGATTTTTAGAAGAATGGAAAAAATGAACCTTAGAGATTGGAACAGTCCCCCACTTATCACCTGCATAGTATTCAGGCTCAAACGCACATTTATTGGCTAGAATAACTACTCTGTCTTCCATCTTTTCCAGTGCCACAGCTGCAAATCCACCAAGTGGATGTTCTTCATATACGTGCAACTCCACTCCTTACATACAGCACTACAGATTCCTCATAGCGTTCTGTGCACTCTGCTCACAAGTAGGATTTTCCTCATGTCACCTCACAGATCTGTTCAGAGGAATGGAAAACTCACATCTGCAATAAAATACTTTCATATTCCACGTTCTCCCTTGTCCCATTTTTCTTAAAGCAACACAAAGCCTGGAACACCAACAATAATTCTTCCCTATATTCCCAGAAGAACGCACTGAAAATTCCAGTAGCTATTTCAAACATTTACATGTTTTAAAAGTTCCCACTGTGAAGCAAAAATCTGTTACTCAGAGATAGTGTTTATACTGTAATACAGCACATCCCCATGCTGTCCTGACAATCTTGAGGTCTAGCCTGCATTTGTGAAATCACAGTAAGTACAAATGTGTAACTGTATATAACCACACTAAAGCCTATTCTTCACACAGACAGAGCTTTTATCAGCAAAATTCCAACAGATTACAAAGAGAAATGTTAACAGAATGGCAGCAGTCAGGGAGCATTTGTTTTCATATTGCTGACAGATGCAACTACACTAGCAAGTCAACACAAGGTCTTCCAATGCACAAAGATGACAGGAAAAAAAAAAAGAAATAAGCAAGATAAGAAAGATTTCACAGAGAAAAAAAAAAATATATTCATAAGAGGCTATGACAGTGCATGAAGTGGAATGCAAGAAATTCTCACAGGACAAAACAAACCTGTACTTATCAACCAAAGTGACAGCAAGAATAAAAGAAAAATGAGCAAAGAACAAAACAGTTGCAAAAGAAAGAACCTTTACTGCTACACAGGACCTAAATCAGAAGCCCACCTTACCTTTCAGCCCTTCTCTTTCACAGCAGGTAAAGAATGGTTTGGAGCACAAGTCTCAAGGGGAGCAGCTGAAGGAACTGGTATTGTTCAGACTGGAGAGGAGAAAGCTAAGGAGAGACCTTATCACAGTCTACAATGATGTGAAAGGAGGTTGTGGTGAGGTGGGGGTCAGCCTCTTCTCTCAGGCAGCAGCAATAGGACAAGAGGGAATGGCCTCAAGTTGCACCGTGAGAGGCTCAGGTTGGACATTAGGAAAAATTTACTGTCAGAAAGAGCAGTGAGGCAGTGGCACAGGCTGCCCAGAGAGGTGGTACAGTCACAGACCCTGGAGGGTTCAATAAATGACTGGATGTGGCACTGAGGGATGTGATCAGTGGGCATGGTGGGGGTGGGCTGCTGCTTGGACTAGAGGATCTTAGAGGTCTTTCCCAGCCTTAATGATTCCATGGCCTACTTAAGCATGCAGCAGGCAAGAAGGAACAGTGATCACAGTCCTAGCTGTGCCAGCAGGAGCTACCTTTCCCCCAGTATGCTGTGAGGCAATTTTCAGCTTGCCACATTCAAGTAACACTGTTTTCTGCAGAAAAGCCTTACAGTTCTACTTCAACCAAATCCCTGGTCCTCCCTCTCCTCACCACCAGAAGGACAGCCTGGCCACTAACCAACTCATCACACCAGGAACACACGTCACTGATACTTTTGGCATGATTTGCTTCATCTTTCTATCTTCCTCAAGACCCTCCAGTTCCTCTGAAGCCTACAAACGCTAACAGATTTTTATAGGAGAGCTTCGAGGATCTTCTCCTTTTGCTCAAGCATTTGATCTTGTCATATCTGTTAAGCCAGCACTGCACTCCGGGCACAGGTCGAGCCGCGGCTGCAGCATCCATCCCAGCTCTGACATCTGCAGACAGCACGGCTCCTTTCCGTAGGCTAGAGATAAGCACGCTCAGACAAGCCAACTCAACGTTTTTCTCTAAGTATCAGTTTTTTCACCTCATCCCCAAGCTGGAAGCACGTTCTCCCAGCTTTACCTTCCTCCCAGCCCTCACAGACCCGCACAGGAGAGGACGACGAGCAGAGCAGCGCCGGCCCCAGCCGCTCTCCTCACAGAGCCGCGGCTGTGCACACCGAGGCAGCGCGGCGCCCTGAGGCGTTCGGCACAGCCCAGCTGCCCCGGCTGCCGCACGCCTGCCGCGAGGTGCGGGCTAACAGAACCACGGCCCCAAGCAAGCCCTGCCCTCAGCAGCGATTTAAGGGACGGAGCGAAGGAGGCTACGACCGGCTCTTCGCGGCGTCACCGCGAGGGCCGCTTCCCTGTCGCCTGCCCGCCGTCCCTCAGACAAAGCCGCCGCCTCCTCCCCGCTCACCGAGGTGGGACATGGAGACGGTGCTGTTCCCGAAACGGGCCTCGTTGTAGATGACCACGGCCGTCGCCCGCTTCCTGGCCGCGTTGGTGATCTTGTCCTTGAACGTGCAGCCGCCGCGGGCCACCAGCGCGATCCACGGCGGCGGGTCTCCGTCGGGCGCCGGGCGGCCGCCGGCGGGCAGCGGCACGTCGTAGTCAGTGTCGGCGGCGCAGCCCTCCATGTGGCGGGGCGAGGCGCCTCGGGGGATGCCCACGTGGCCCTGCGCGCCCTCCTTGGGCGAGCTGTCCCCGTAGCGGCCGCTCTCCGTGTTGCCCCGCACCGTGCGGTTGCTTACAGGCTCCACGTAGCTCGTGCTCACCCACGCCGTGTACCACTCCAGCGCCCGGGCTCCCTGCCCGCCCGGCGCCCCCAGCGCCACCAGCGCCGCCGCCACCAGCGCCAGCCGGGCGCGCCGCACCATGGCCCGGCCGCCGCCGCCACGCCGGGACGGCTCAACGGGACGCAGCGCAGGAGAGACGAAAGAACGAAGACGAGGAGAAAATACAAAGGGAGGCCCCCTGCTCTCGCCTCGCTCGGCCCCGCACCCGGCTCCGGCTCTGGCCCCGCCGCCGCCGCTCAGGTGAGCCCTCCCGCCGCCCGCTCCCCGCCCCGGGCGGAGCCGAGCCGCCGGCACCGCTAATGGCGAGGCGGAGGCAGGGCCTGCCGCCCGCGCACGCGCCCATCCGCCCCGCCCCGGGGGATGCCGGGAGGGCACCGCCCACCCCGGGAACGGCGGCTGGGAGGGGGCGCCTCGGTTCCGACCTCCCCACTTCGCTCGGCTGGGCTCGGATCGGCTGGGCTCGGGCTGCCTCGGTCTTCGGTCCGCTCCCCGGGTCAGCCGTGGGCAGGTCTCAGGGCGGAGGAGCGTCCCGTGCTGATAGCTGCCCCTGTAGCCGTACGCGTGCCATCGCCCCGCACCAGCAGGTCCTCCAGTGTTGTTTTCCCTTGGCCCTAGCCGGAGATAACTATTTTTAAAATTAAGTCCGGTCAGTCGAGCCCAGTGGTACATGCGTGAATGGAATGAGTCATCGCCTCCACCCTTTTCCTCACCCACGTTCGAGAGTAGAACAAGCGTCCTCCCTAGGGAGAGGCGGCCTGCGGGGCAGGAAGCGGGGAGGGACAGCAGCAGGTACGGTCGGAGGCTGACAGAAATAGAGCGCGGTGTGTGGCAGGGCAGGGGGGAGGAAGCCAGTCGCTAAAGCTAAAAGTTGAGATAAGAGAGGCGTTTGAGCCTCCTTCGTCACAATAGCGCGTTTTTGGGAACAGTGACTCTAGCACCGCCTTGGGCAGACTGCTGGATATTCCAGGTTGGATATTGTGAAACATCTCTTCTCAAAAGGAGCAGTGAGGCAGTGGCACAGGCTGCCCAGGGAGGTGGTGCAGTCACCGTCCCTGGAGGTGTTCCAGAACCGTGTGGATGTGGCACTGAGGGACGTGAGCATGGTGGCAGTGTGCATGGTGGGGATGGGCTGCTGGTTGGACTGGGTGATCTGAGAGGTCTTTTCCAGCCTTAATTAAGCCTTCTATGAAGGCTTCTGCGTACTTTTGCAGCTACTGAAATGGATCAGCTTTTCATCAGCTTTTTTGAACAATCTCATCGTTTGATTTTCCTTGAAAGGTCAACAGTCGTTGCGTCATCACAGTTAGCTACATGCACTGTCCATCAACATTGACAGATCTCTGTAGAGTCTTCTTCCTAATTGTGACTGTAGATCTGGCAGTGCCTGGCCTACTTTCTGAGGAGGGTGTACTCAGACAAAGGCCTTGAGCTCAGTAAGCCCTTGGTGCCAGCAGGACTGCTTTGCTCTGTCAGCATCAAGGCCATTGTGCTCCACGTTCTGGCTCACAGTTGGTAAAATAAATCCAGTAAAAAAAAAAAAAAAAATTAAACCCTAAACTATTCTTTAAAGTAACTCAAGCATTCTCCCCAAATACTTGGCAGTATAGTTTTGGGACTCTCTCCAAAAGCACTGAGTATTGTGAGAACAAGATCAAAGGAACAAAGTCAAGATGACAGCCAGGGCAGATCTATGGAGTGCAGTAAGGGGCTGTGGAGAAGAAATCTGAACAGCAAGAGTAGTTAATGAAGGAAAAAATACAGGAAAACGCTGGAGGATATTAAATGGTACATGGTGAACGGAGTTAGTGGCAGAGCAGAGGAGGTAGAGGCTGGATGGTGTTGAAGAACAGCAAGCAACAAAATTTTGAAGGAGCCAGAAAGTGTTTGGCAAAAAGCAGATTGAAAAAAGCAGATTGAAAAAGAGTATTTTTAATGAACCCAAAACTGTAGTTCAAGTGAGAATTTTTTTTGAAAAACAGTGATAGGTACTTAGTGTACTCAAAATAGACATTGCTCCAGAAAAGGGACAGAGGTAAAAAATAAGTAAGTGAAAGTGAAAGGAACATCTGCATGGACTGTTCTTTGAAGAGTATGGAGTCATTGGAAACAGGAAAATGATGCTGATTATAGTTTATACAGGTTAGGAAACTATTGTCATGATTTTCACAGAGAATGAAGTCCAACCAATGACAAGACAAAGATGATAAGGTGTAAATAGAAAGGAAGCACAGGCTGTTCCCTATGCCCTTTTTTTTTTTTTTTTTTTTTTTTAATGAAGTAGAGACTTTAATGGAGGAGCTTGAGTTTTGTTGAAAGGAGGTGCAAGAAAACAGTATGAAAGGGTAACTTGTCAGCCTGGGCTTAAGAAATCTCGCCAGAGGGAAGCAGACAGAAAAGAACAAGCTGTAACAAGAACTTACAAGAGTAAGGCTAGCAGTGGAAAAAATAGCACTGAGGAATCTTCCAAAACACCATTAATGCACACCTGATAGGTGCCGGCTCAGTCTCCTGGCAGACAGGAACAACGATTGTTGTTAATAATAACAATTAATTGCCATGATGAAAACAGAACTGATATAACTGAGAAGACGAAAGGAAGATAGAATGTGCCCAGCTGCTTCATCCCTGGAGAGATGTGAAGCTACACCAAGATAGATCTGATTCTCTGTTCCCAGAAGTGCTTTGGAAGAAATTAGCTTGGTTCAGAAAAACAGAAAAAAGCAGAAATTTGAATAGCTGCCAAAAAAAGTAAGCTACTCGGGCTCATACCATCCTGCACACTTAAGGATATACTAACTGCAGTTCCTCTTTGAAAACTGTTTTATTTGCATGTTGTCCTTGATGGGTATTTTGTTAACATTCAGTATCTTTAGAAATCAAAAGGCATTGCAGATTACAGTACACATCCAGAAATAAAACATACTGAACTTCCTCCAGCTAAGTGATGAAAATTTCATCAGTAATGGAGTATTCTTTGGTTAAATAAGAACAGCAGTTAAGACTAGCTGTGCTTAGTCCTGTGCATGCATGATGTGTGCACAATTTAGCAAAACATTTGAGCCCAGGATTCAGAACTTTGTCTTCCTTTTTTTTCAGCAAATACACAGACATGATTAAATGCATCTCTTAAATACTGCAAAAACCCAGTTAAAGTTTTAAATAATAGGTGTTGTGCAACAAGTGTTTTTGGGGAAGCTAAAGAAATAAGTAAAATACGGAATACATGGCAGTACATTGCACATCAACTAGCTGAAATACTTAACAAATTTTTCAGGGCTTATCCAGACTTTCTAAAAATGTTTCTTTGATCTTATAATCAAAGCACAACAAATAAGTAGGAGTTCTGCTACCAACTTAAGCTGAAGTGAGATGAGACCCTTTACGGTCTCAAGGAAATCTGATCTCATTATGCTATCTTAATAAGACTCTTTTGATTAAAAGCTTTTACAAATGTCACTTGGCATATGACCACCAATTCCACTTGATACATTTGCCTCTTTAAGGAAAAATTGGAAGTAGTGCATAACTAATAATGTAAAAAACAGCTAAACAAATTATTGACTGTGTCTTCCCCTTTCTGTGCTCTGGAAAATTCCATTCAAAAATCTGCACGTCATATTTTTGATAAATTTATGTAGACTTTCAAGAACTTTAATGGAATCTATTCCTTGGAGGAAGAAAGCATGAAATGCGAGCAGGTGATTTACAGCAGTGTTTCCTTATGAAGGCTCTTTTGTCACTTTACATGCCATTCTACCTTGTGTTTTGAGCTTCTGTCAAGAATCTCAAGGCTTGTCGCTATAGAAAAGCTCTCTGATGAATGTGTCAATTTATAACACAGTATATATCTCCAATTAATCTAACTGTGCAGGGACACAGCAAGTAGAATAAATTCAAAACCTTTCTTATAGCACGCACTTCTGAAACGGTTAAAACTCTTTATCTAAATATTGTGGACACGCTCCCTTACTGCTTTAAGGCAAGAGTGTTAGTCAGTAATGGATAACACATACTAAGACCATGTCCCTGTTACCAAGATGTCTAAGGATGGAAGTGAAAGTTTCTAAAATTCTCACTGTTCCTTATCTTTCTTAAACACTGGATTTGCTCACCCTATGTGTGTGTTTGTGGGGGGCAGAGGGAGAGAAGTTCAGACTTCTCTAGGAATAGCAGTAACAAGGATGACAAACTGTCTAATTACAGTTGCACAGAAATGTGTAGGTTGGACCTGTGGAAATTCTCTTAGAGAGCCTAGAACTCTGCCTACTGACCTCTGTTTTGAAAGTCCCATTAATCCTAGTGGACAGTGTCAAATCCATAGTGCACAAAGATGTCCATGGCAAAATTAATCCAATCAAGAATGATTTCACTGAATGGTATTCTGTACATTTGTACAGGACCAGCCATTTTGATTCAGTACTACACAGTACCAGATTTGGGGGCAAATTTAGATGGGAGGATGCTGTTCATCTGCCAAGAAAATACGGGAAATACATTCAGACAGGACACTTCCTCATCTTGTGTAATTACCTCTGCAAGAGATCTGCAGACTCACTGGCAATAAGACAAGAAAAAAATGCTTACCAAGTGTCTAAAGAAAGTTTCTCCCCACATCTTCCTTCAGTTCTTACAGAATATTAGGAACGTTAGAGATGCCTGCAGACTTGAGGCCAAAATCTGAGTAGCCCTGGAAGTTAAAACAGCACGGTGCCCAGGTCTGTTCAGAGGATAATGTCCTTTTTTCATGCCTGAACCAAAATAAGCTCAGCTACACTTAATTGGCTTCCAGGTGGTCACAGCTCCCTGAGCTGCCTTGGAACTCTGGCCAGGGATTAACCTGTAAAAGCTCAGGTCACTCACTGAGAAATCCACGCTACTCATGCCTGCGTTGATGTGGGCTAGTGCCAAAGGCTCTGCTTCCCTCCCAGGGATTCAGAGAAAACCATCTCAATCTGCCTCTTTCTTAACATAACAGGGAGACCAGCCATATGGTTTTCAAACTGTGTCATGATGTGACATGCTAGCCATGGGACCTTTTGCATTATCACACCATTAGGAATTGCAGAATAAGATTACCAGCACGTTTCAAGAAAGGGATGAAGATTATTAAAACTGCTCTGTACTCTTTTGGGATTATTTTATAAGATGCGTATTCACTGCCTATTCACAGAGTTTGTAAACAAGTTTGCACTTTCCACACTAGGAAAATGAGTATTTTGATGATCTAGTGGTTGGTGACCCTGCGCATAGCAAACTAGATGATCGATGTGGTCCTTTTCAACCCAGGCCATTCTGTGGTCTGAAATATCTATCTTCAGACTTCTTTAAAAAAATATCATGAAC